TTTTGAATAATATTGTATGAGTTCCTTGTTTTTCAATGCAGTATAGTATTCCATTGTGTGAATATACCACAGCTTCTCTATCCATTCGTTTGTTGATGGGCACCTGGGTTGTTTGCAGCTCCTTGCTATTGTGAACAAAGCCGTGATAAATGTGGGTGTGCATGTTATTTTTTTAAAAAAAAGATATTTGCATTAAATAAATCCTTGATTGTAGAAAAAAAAAATTTTAAGTGCCTCCAATCTACCTGGTGAGCTTAAAGAAAAAGAGACCAAAAATCCTAGAGGTGTCCTCGTATGGATATTGATAGGTCCCTCCACAGCCCTGCAGAGAGCCTAGACTGGAAATGCTGAGGGAGGGAAGGAAAAGCTGTGCCTGAAGGAGCACAGCGAAGAGAATAGCATTAGAATGTCTGCTCCCTCCACACATGACCATAGATAATAAGCCTGGGGTGTTGCGCTCCATTAACTCCTCCCGAGAGCAGAGAGTGGACCACATTCCTCAATCAAAGGAGGTGTCAGAGGGTTGTTCCCAGCTAACTAAGCACAGGTCCCTCACTCCTGATACCATGTGAGAAAGATGGACAATCTCCTCTCATGCGATCTACAGCCTCTGAAAACCTGCCAGAGGTTATACAGTTATGAGTCAGTTCTGATATGAAGGAAATGAGTTGAAAGGAGAAAAGGGGGAGTCTCGGATAGTGTGGGTTCCCTGCCAGTCATATCATCAACATTCACCAAGAAGAAATGGTATCCTCAAGGCTCAGGAACATACCCCTGTTGGTGAAAGGTCATCATTCAGTTCCATCCCTGTTATACAGACTCAGACCAGGCATCCACAGATTATTCCTCAAGGCCAGTTTCTCCTGAAAAATTTCCTCTTGGACCCCTGCGGTTCATCCCTTGTATGAGGAAATGCTAAGGTGACATTGTACACCAGGACAGCTGTGATTCTGCTGCTAACCAGTCGTACGAGCTCAAACAAGTCAGTTTTTCTTTGAGCCTTTCCTCATCTGTCAAAGAAAAGAAATCGTCAGATCTAATGTTCTGTCATTCTTACTGGCATTTGTGGGTTTTCTGTCTTGTCTGAACCTTGATTATTGATTACTCATTCTATTTCATACCATTTCTCAAGAAATGAGATGTCATTAAGAACAGCTGCACACAACTAGAAACCATTTCGTTTGGTACATAATATATTTTGATTTGCTTATTCCTGTGATGAGGGAGATCTGATAGCCTGGTGGCAAGAAATTGTGCTGCCTACCCAAAGGCAGCAATTTGAATCCACCAGCTGCTATGCAGTCTCCTCCTGTGTGATTTCCTGCCACTGAAAACCTACTGGAGGGTCAGCTATGAGTTGGTTCCAGATAACATCATCATCCCTATGACTGAATCTAACTTTAGACTGTGTCTCACAGTGTACTTCAACCCTGGTTTCTTTGACTAGTTCACCAACAGATAAGTAAACATGTTAGCCTAAAGTTTCCCCTGTGGCACTTTGTAATGATATATAACCTTGACATGCCCTAGATCTTCTGTCATTACTGCCTGTAAGCTTTCCAGAGAAGAGATGTCATTCTGAGGAGACTGTATTTTGTGAGTACGTGTATCTACGACATTGACATTCCGTGGCATTTATGAGAAAGGGTGAGAGAATGTGTTTCTGGGTGTGTAATTAAATAAAGAACATGTGTTCTTTCCTTTAACAGCTGAAGCAATGGAAGGCATTTGAAGAGGAAAACCAAACAATGAGACGCATGGCCAAATATTTCAGCACTCCCTGCAAAAGCTTCCATACCCAGTGTGGTGAGGAGCAGAACCACCTGAAGGGAGACAAAAACTCCATGGAAAGGCTCCTGACAGAAGTAAGCTAGCCTCTGAAGGACAGATTCTCTGTAAAGAACTCCATTTAGCTGCCCCTTCATGCATTGATCCTCGATTCTTCCCTCCCTGCTTTCACCTCCTCTTTCTCCCCACTTCTTGGGCTCTCCTGCTTCTCTTAGCAGCAAGAGCTCAGCATTCCCTCAGTGATGCTCCCATTGCTTACTTTATTTTTCACTGAGAGGTGTATATTGAGTCATCCATGCGTGCTGGACATTGTGCTGAAGGCTGATAAACAAAACCCTTATGAAACTCAAAATCGAGGGCAAACTCAACAGGCAAAGTCTTTGCTCTGGAGTCAGAACAGACTTATGGCTGACCCTTCAGCTGGATTTTGAGAGGCTGTAAATGTCATGAGAAAGAATTTTTTTT